TATATATATATAAATAGAATATTTTGGCTCCTTTCTGTCCCCAAACTTCCCCTACTTCTCTCTTTGGTAATGAAATATATTTTAAATTTCTTCAGCTTTCATGCTTATATGTTCATAGTTCTTTCTATGAAAATAAAATTTCTTCTTTATACATATGAGCTCACATCTGGCAGGGTATAGAGCCTGAGGACGTTTTGATTTGGCCTCTCTTGTTGGGAGGTCGTGTCATATTATGTGCTGGTGTCTAGACTTTAGCCCGTGACCTTGGAGAAAGAAGGTTGGCATCTGAGCTACTGTTTCCAATTTCTGAGTCTAGGATCAGAGTTCATTCGTGTGGATGCAAATACAGAGGGGATCATAACTTCTGAACTCTCTGTTCCTGGTCACAGCCATTCAGTCGCTCCTTGGGGATAGGTTAGGAAAGAGCCAGGCCAAATCCAGGCTTTGTGGAGCGAAAATTTACCGTGAGTGTGGGGTCCCTCCCAGGGCATCTGAAGCTCAGCCAGGGGCGGCACACGCTCATCAGCACAGAAGCAGACTCCTCCCCCAGCCATGCAGGCTGCCGCCCTGGGGCTGCTGATGGTGGTGGCCGTGGCCGAATTTCTCATTGGCCTGGTTGGAAATGGCATCCTTGTGGTCTGGAGCTTTGTAGAATGGGCCAGAAAATTCAAGTGGTCCTCCTACGACCTCATTGTCCTGGGCCTGGCTGGCTGCCGGATCCTCCTGCAGTGCCAGATCATGGTGGACTTGATCCTGATCCCGCATTTCCAGGGGATCCCCTGGTTTCACTCTCTCAGCATCTTCTGGGTGGTGGTGAGCCAGGCCAGCCTGTGGTTTGCCACCTTCCTGAGTGTCTTCTACTGCCTGAAGATCACGACCTTCGAGCACCCGGCCTACCTGTGGCTGAAGCAGAGGGCCTATCTCCTGAGTGCCTGGTGCTTTCTGGGCTGCCTCCTCATCAACCTGCTACTTCTACCCCAAGTTCGCCTACAGTCCTCCAGCCCTTCCCGTGGGAACAGCAGCTTTCTGCGCCCCCTTTCAAACTGGCACTACCTGTATGTACTGCAGCTCAACTCGGGGAGCGGCTTTCCTTGCGTGGTCTTCCTTCTTTCCTCGGGGCTGCTGATTGTGTCTCTGTACAGACACCACCGGAAGATGAAGGGGCAGATGGCTGGCCGCAGTGATGCCCGGGCCAAGGCGCACGTCACCGTCCTGAAGTCCTTGGTCTGCTTCCTTGTGCTCTACTTGGTTTACATGGTGGCCAGTCCCTACTCCATAACCTCCAGGGTCCCCCCTGTTAACCTCCCCGCGGTCTTCATCTCCGAGACGCTCATGGCGGCCTACCCCTCTCTGCACTCCCTCACGCTGATCGCGGGGAACCCCAGGCTGAAGCAGGCCTGCCAGAAAGCGCTGCGGACAGTGCGGGCCTGGCGGCCCTGAGGCCGGGAACTGCAGGGAAAGTGCTGGGCAGGGCACTCTTTTGAGACACTGTTGATAGCTCCCTGTGAGGCTCTTACAACTCTTAAAATTTTCCTTCTTTCACACAAATGGGCAACAGGAAATGCTGGATAAAAATCAATACTATTTCTCTCCTGGCAATGCAAAGTACAGTATTTCAATGTATTATGGAAATCAACGCTGGGTGGAGGTGGGCAGAGGGGGAAAATGGGGGATCACCTGCAATAGTGTCAACAGTAAAAATTTAAATAAAAACGAAAAAAAAGAGAGGAAAAAGATATCAATGCTGGGGCTTGATGGTTGGTCAAAGGGGTGTTCCGTTTATATATAATAAGTAGTTCATTTCTTTTTAATTACATATATAAGTTACATTTTTCCTATTATACGAAACAGAGGTTAGGACAATTAATACAGTGATTATGAATTTTTATGAAATTTCACCTATCCATTAATGTTAGTCATTTCAGATAAGCTTTTAGAAGAAATATGTATTTAATAATTTTCCCATTTCTTTAAGGTAGCAGGTCCAGTTATCTAACTAAAAAACAAAATAAAGCATCTTTATATTTCTGGAAGGTTCTCTGAGCCCTAAAACTCAGTTGGCTGCCGTGATCTGTGTTAAGCTTCCAAGTCCCATCCTGGAGTGGGGCAAGGCGGGAGTGCGGGCACTTGCTTCTGCTCTGAGAAGGAACGCTGCTCCTTGGAGAGGTCAAGCCGCGTCCCCTTTGGTCATTACCATCCTCACTGTCCACACAGGCCTCTCCGCAGCCTGAAGGCGGAGTTGGAGCCTGCCACGCCTTTGAGTTGGATGGATAGCATCTAGGGAGTCAAATCTGGAGCAGCAGGAACTGTGTCTGTTTCTGTTTTCTCCTAGGTTCCTGGTGCCTAGAAAACTATTTAGCCCACAATAGGCACTTGATAAATATTTTCTAAATGATTGATTTGCTGTGCTGACTAGTCTCAGAATCCTTCTTTCTCTTTTATGTTATAGAGAAACTGAGGCCCAGAGAGGGCAATGGAGGGCTCAGAGGTTCATAGACAGCCTGTGGCTATGATGGGACCAGAACTTTGTATCCCGGTTTCTGGTCCAAGGCTCTTTCCTTGGCATCAGCTACCTTCCTGAAGAGCTAGCTTTGCCTTCCCCTCCCCTGAACCCCACATCTCTTCCTATGCACTTTCTCAGCCTTAAGTTTTGGCCTTGTTTCAACACATTGCTTTTGGTTCAGTGCTAGGTGGTCTGGAATCTAATGGACAATACTTAATACACACAGTTGTTGTTGTTTTTCCACTTCTTACACACCATGCTAATCTGCTTTTGTTAATCTCTTTTCTCTAACATGTGTCTTTTCCTTACTGAAGGTTGTGGACTGAGGTGCATGCTAGGCCCACGTGGATGTCAGTCATTAGGGGAGAGCTGGCTCCGCCAATGTCACTGTGAGTTGTGTGTGTTGTGTTTTTTGTCTTCTGGGAATGATGATCCATTCCTTTCAGGTAGAGAAATGCTTCTCCTTGGTTATGTTTTTAGTAGCAGGATGAATTTGTCATTATGTCCTGGCTATGTTCATATAGATGTCCTTTGTTGACCAACTATTGTTATAATGATAATGACAGTACCTAACATTTTGGGGGGACTACATTTTATTAAGTATTCTTATATTTAGTCCATAATTTCATTAGATTTTATAGCAGCTCTATATAGTTAGTAATGCTAAGCCCATTTTACAGATGAAAAAACTTAGGCTGGAGTGATGATTTGCTCAAGATCATCAACTATCAACTGGTAAAAATGCAGGTAAAACAGTTCCAGATTTTTGGACTCTGAGTCTTGTGTATTTCCAGTAAACCTTAAGTCCTTCTTGTTCATGCTTGTAAGAATTTATGCTGGCCTCAGCCTGTGGAATGCTCAAGTTTATGAGTAATTTTAAACAGATGAAATAAGCAACTAATCTTGCAAGCTTCGTCTTGGTGGGATGCCTGGGAGCCAAGGTCCAAAATCACGACAGATGGGAGATTCTAAGACTTGCTGTTCTTAGGGACAAAGCACTTGTGTTTTTCCCAGTTATCTTTTTGGATCAGATTTCCTTCCCTTTCTGTACATGATTTAGCTCATTCTGGGTGTGAGGCTGCTTTGTGTTTACCTAAGAAAACAAATCTGGAGGCAAATCTGTGTCCTTGACTTGCTTCCTATGTAACAAAATCTTCTATAGTTTGCATTCCTGGAGCTGGGGAGCTGCAGCTGGCTCCATGTGTGCATGTGTGCATGCATGTGTGTGGGTGTGTGCAGATATGCCCTGCCTCCCTTGCTCTCATGGGGTGTGATCTGTGATGGTGCAGGGTTCAAAAAAGCTGAAATGGTAGAGAAAGGTAGAAATGGAGCTGCGACATTTGCCCATTCCACTCTCGCTGGCCAAATATAGTCCTGTTTTACCACTTGTCCTAGTTCTCGCGATTATGTTCACGGCTCTAAATAATATGATTCGCCTCTCTCACTTGGTTTCTCCACTTTGAGCAGTAACTTCTGAGCCCCATTCATCAAAGTTTGGAGGTGATCTTGCTTAATCCCAAATCTCTCACCCTCCCCTAAATCCGATTGGTTTTACTTATTTGTCATTCTACCAGCCATTCATTTTAAAACTTTAAAGTAATATGTTTTTTTAACTTTGTTTCTTTGAACCATAACTTATGATAGTATCTACAGAATCTGAATTGTGTAGAAGGAAGAAATTAGTGCTTCAACCCTCCTATCCTCCCAGGACCCAACTCATGTTCACCTTCATGTGACTTATGGAGAAAATAGATCTGTTGGAAGAAATCAGCTGTCTCAGAGGATCATTGGGAAGCTGGAGAGTCAGTGTCGGGATGGGAGCCAAGAGGGTTTAAACAACTGAGAGCACCACCAAGTCACTGTGCAGGACTGGTGCTGGCCCCCCCCGCCCCCCATCTCATCTGTGGGCATTGGTCCTGGACACTTTCACTGCCTCTGCAAATGTGTCCCTTTGGGTCATAGCTCCAAGGTCCAACATCCTGGCCACGAGCCTCTGGTTGGCTGATTCTAGGTCACACTCCTGCCCTAGCGGACAGGTCCTGGGGAGAGGACCAGTCTGATTCCCCTTTGGCTTCTGAACTATGTATTTTTAAATTACATGAAAAAATATGCTCAACAATTAGGTTAAGCAGCAGAACCGGTACAGCTGATGGTGAATTAGTGAGCAGGAAGGTCAGTGCAAAGAACCTGGGTGGGTCCAGAAGGCAAGAGGAAACCAGGGAGACAAGGCATTTGTTTCAATGCCGAGCAATGGAGCCGGCGGGAGGCCTGGGTTTCTGACTGTGACAGTGCAGCTGATCAGTGACTCTCATCACTGATGTTTCTCTCTCTCTCTCCCTCTCCCTTTCTCTCTCTGAAATCAATAAAAATACATTAAAAACAAACAAACAAATAACCCCCCCTCCCCCCACAAAAACGAAAGCCTTAGCAATACAGGAGCATTCCAGGAAAAAGCTGCAAGTTTGGCTGGAGTGCTTTCCTTTAGGGGGAGCTGGTGGAGCAGCTTCAGGAACCTCACATCCTACGCAAGGTTGAGTTACTGGCGAAATGATGAGTGAGGATTATGTCTCTGAAAAACATTCCTTTTGTGTTTTTAAAAAGTTCCTTGTTAGATAAGACTGTACTATGGTTCAGATTTTTAATTGTAATGAAACCCATCTCTAGAGAGTAATGCCGTTAAAGATTTGTACCTGGAAAGAGCAAGCCCCAGTTTAAACGCTGAAGGATGGTTGCTGAGTGCAAAGGCAGAGATAGCTCTTCCTAGGAGTTTTAGTGGATTGGTTTTGTTGCCATTAGTGCTGGCGTTACAAAGGTGCATAGGTTTTCGATAGCCTTCTCCAACATTATTTTCCTCATAAGCTCTTTTAATTTTTGTGCATGATTTTGCAGAGTTAGACGTTTTATGAGAACATGTATATCACTTCATGGCAGGAAGACTTATTTGTTGTAAGTTTGTCATGAGGATTAAATGAAGTAATATAAGTAAAGTGCCTAGAAGAGTCCCTGGTGCATAGTAATAGCTATAGATATTTTATATTATTATCCTACTACAGTGCCTTTAATGTTATTGTCATGTGACTCTTTGGAAAAGTAACTAAGCATTTGCATTGGCAAGGAATCATTGAAGTTAGAGAAAAGACTAGAAATATCCAATAAATATGGTTTGGCAGTGGCTTCCTAAATATCTATGTGCTTCACCATCCCTTGCTAGTTCCTTTAATCCTGCCCACACCTTTATAAATTATTTATTAAATTCTCTTCAATGATCTTTTTGAGTGTATTGTTCTTTTGACTTACATATATTAATAAGTCAAAAGTTTGCCCTTTGAAAAGACAAAGTAAAAAAACCCACTGATTAATAAAAGAGAAAGGCTGATGACGTGGTCTTGTATCTAGAAAATCCTAGGGAATCCACAATAAAACTGTTAAAAATAATAAACAACATAAGCAAGATTACAAGGATGCAAGATCAATATACAAAAGTTAATTGTATATCTGTACACTAGCAATTAATATTTAAAAAATGAAGTTGAGAAAACACACTTATAATAGTAGGCTCTCTATTCTATAGAAAGAATAAAACACTTAGGAATAAATTTAACAGAAGTGCAAGACTTGTACACTGAAAACCATACATTGCTAAAAGAAATTAAAGACCTAAATAAATGGAAAGACATCCAAGTTCATGGATTTGAACACTTAATATTGTTAAGATATCAGTACTCCCCAATTTGATCTACAGATCAACACAATTCCTATCTGAACCCAGTTGGCCTCCCCCCCCAGATATTGACAAGTTGGACCTAAATTTTTTATGATGCTGTAAGAGACCCATAATAACCAAAATAATTTGAAAAAGAACAAATTTGGAGGACTCTCACTTCTTAATTTCAGAACTTACTGCAAAGCTATAGTAATCAGAACAGTGCGGTACTAGAATAAGAGAGATATATGAATAAATGGGATAGAATTGAAGGTCCAGAAACAAACCATCACAATTATGGAATTATGGTCAAATTATTTTAGTCATGGGTGCCAAGACAATTCAGTGGTAAAAGAAGTTTTTTTAACAAATGGTGTTGGGAAATTGGATCCTTACCTCACACTGTATACAAAAATTGACTAAAAGCGTATCATAGACCTAAGCATTATACCTACAATTATACAACTCTTAGAAAAAAAACCTCTGTAGGATAAATCTTTGTGACTTTAGGTTAGGCAATAGTTTCTAGATTCACACAGTAATACAAGGAACAACAACAAAGTAGATAATTTGGATTTCAACAATTTAAAAAACTTCTGTGCCTCAAAGGACACCATTAAGAAAGGAACAAACTATAGAGTGGGAGAAAATATTTTCAAATTATATATCTGATAAGAGACTTGTATCCAGGAAATATAAAGATTTTTACAACTCTATAGTAAAAAGACAATCTAATTAAAAATGGACCAAGAGTTTGAATAGGTACTTTTTCAGAGAAGTTATACCAGAGGCCAACAAGCACATGAAAATATGATTAGCATCTTTAGTCTTTAGGAAAATGCAAATTGAAACCACAATGAGATACCACTCCATATCCATCAGGATGATTAAAATAAAAATAAAAAACCCCCCACCAATAATACATTTGATGAAGATGTAGAGAAACTGGAACCCTCATTCATTACTGTTGGGAATATAACCTAATACAGACACTTTGGAAAAAAGTTTGGCAGTGCCTCAAAATAGCAAAAGCATACAGTTACCATGTGAACCAGAAATTCCACTCATAGGTGTATGTTGAAGAGAAAAGAAAATATATTTCCACACAAAGACTTGGGCATGAATGTTCATGGCAGCATTGTCATTGCAGATGCCATTACATCTGGGAGACAACCCAGATGTCCATCATCTGATGAATGGATACACAAAATATGGTATATATTCATACAATAGAATATTACTCATAAAAAGGGAAGGGGTGCTCATACATGCTACAACATATATAAAAATTGAAGACATTGTGCTAAGTGAAAGAAGCCTGTCACAAAAGACTGTGTATTATATGATTGCATTTACTATATGAAAGTTCCAGAATAGGAAAATCTATAGAGATAGAAAGTAGATTAGTGGTTTCCAGTGGCAAAAGAGAGAGAAAATGTGACTGCTTATGTGTGTAGGGATTCTTTAGGGGGTCATGAAAATATTCTAAAATTAAATAAGGTTGATAATTGCTTAACTCTGTAAATATATGTAAAACCACTGAGTTTACACTAAAAGATATGTTAAAGAAATTAAAGACATAAGGATTGCTGAAATGTTTTGAAGGTAGAGCTGGCAGGATTTAGCTATAGATTGGACATGAGATATGAGAGAAGAGAGGAGTCAAAGTGATTCTGTTGCATGTCTCCATGCCTCTGAACCTCTTTTGTTTGTCAGTTTATTATGTTCATTAGATTCCACTTGCAAGTGAGATCACTTGATATTTGTCTTTCTTTGGCAGGCTTATTTCACTCGACATATCTTAGAGCGGAGTGGGGGTGGGTGGGAAGAGATTAACCAAAGAACTTATATACATATATGCATAACCCATGGACACAGACAATGGTGTGAAGGCCTGGGGTGGGGCAAGGGCTGGAAGGAGGAGGTAAAGGGGGGGGAAATTGGGGGACATCCGTAATATTGTTAACAATAATAAAAAGGCTAATCATATTGAAAAATATATACTGACAATTCCATAAGTGTTATAAATGTTATCCTTTCAACAGTGATACCACTTTTTAAAGAATTTTAAAATGAGGGGAAAAAAAGATTCTATAATTTTTGGCCCGAGTAACTTGCACAGGTCATCAGCTTATCTGGGGAAGACAGTGGGTGAAGCATGTCGATCTGGGGGGTAAGATTTAGAGTCCAGTTTTGGACAAGTTAAGTCCGAGATGTTTATTAGATATCAAAGTAGAGATATTGAGTAGCCAGCTGAACTTATGAGACTGGAAGTCAAGGGAAAAGTTCAAACTGGAGATATTTAAAATCATAAGAGCCCGGCTGGGTGTGGCTCAGGATCCAGGAGATCGCAGTTTGATTCCCAGTCAGGGCACATGCCCGGGTTGTGGGTTTGATCCCCAGTCGGGGGCATGCAGGGGGCAGCCGATCAATAACTCTCTCATCATTGATGTTTCTCTCTCTCTCTCGCCCTCTTCCTCCCTCTCTCTGAAGTCAATGAAGATATATTTNGGGGGCAGCCGATCAATAACTCTCTCATCATTGATGTTTCTCTCTCTCTCGCCCTCTCCTTCCCTCTCTCTGAAGTCAATGAAGATATATTAAAAAAAAAAAAAATCATAAGACTGGTATAGGCCACTAAGGAAGTGGGTATATATAGATAAAAGAAGAAGTCCAAGACCTAAACTTGGGGAACTCCGATGTTAAGAGATTAAGAGAGATGTGGTGACATCAGTAAAGGAGACTGAAAAGAAGTAGCCGGTGGGGAAGATAGAAAAAAGATCATGATGTCCTAGAGGCCAAGTAAAGGAACTTTTCCGAAAGAGGAAATGACTAACTTTGTCAAGTGATGCTGATAATATTAAGGGAGTGCTGAGAAGGGACCTCTGGATTTAGAAATATACAAGTCATTGGTGACTTTAGAAAGAGCAGTTTAAGAGGGGGCTGAAGTCCCCATGTCCTTGCTGGCTGGTGGCCGAGGTCCTTCTCAGTTTCTAGAGACTGTTCACATTTCTTGCCTTGTAGTCCCCTTCTTCCATCTTCAAAGCTTACCGTGGTGGGTCAGGTCCTTCTCAGGCTTTGAGCCTCTACTGCCTCTTTTTCTCGTCATATCTCTCTGGCCAAGTGTCCTGCCTTCTTCTTCTACTTTGAAGGGCCCATGTGATTATGTTGGTCCCACCCAGATAATCCAGGATAATCTCCCCATTTTAAGGTTTATAAACATAAGCACATCTGCAAAGCTGCATTTTTCATTAAAATACCATCTTCCTGGGTTCTGGGGATTAGGGTGTGGATATTTTTATGGGGCAGGCATTTTTATGCCTAACCCCGAAATCATTAAAATATAAGATTGTATTTTAAAGCTTGGGAATAGAAAATATTGCCCAAGGATAGGGTGTGGTTGTCTCCTATATCTTCTGCTGGGAAATTACTTCACCCATCCTTGTCTTATATGCCCCAGTCTCTTGAGTATCCAGAATTTCTCTATCACTTCCAGATTTGGGATATCAAGAGAGGTGTTTTACCCAGTTCTCAACAGGAGGACTGGTACCCACTTTCTTGACCTTGTTAATCTCATGATCTGTGACTAAGTCCGACTTCTACCCAACCTTCGCCTCCTCTCAGCCATCTCTGCCTCTTGAGCTCTGCTGCTGCCCTGAGAATATGCTCTTCTTGGATCTAGGTGACTTATTTACCTTGCTCTGGAGCTGCCAGGCCTCCTTTCAGACTTCATTGATGGCTGTTGACTCTTTCCTGAGTTCTGCTTTTCACTTTCTGCCCACCCACTAGCTCCCTCCTTGCTAGACACTACAGTCAGTACATCAGTGGGATCGAGCATGACCATTCTTAGGAGAGCTTATTCCAGCACCCAGGATCTTAGCCACAAGTGAGAGCTTCCAGCCCTTTGAATGATAAGAGAGGTGGCAGGAAAGTAGAAGACAACATCTCTTGTGATGCCACACGGACTCCCCTAAAACTTTGAGGCTAAGAGCGTGGGATTGAGAACCTGACATTTGGGGGTTCCAGGCCAGGCTCTGATATCTACCAGCTATGGATGATGTTAAGTAACCTCTTTTAGTCCCGATTTTCTCATTTGTAATGTGGGGATAAAAGACAACCTTAAATGTTTATTATGAGCATTAAATGAGTGACCCCCAGGGTAGTGCAGCAAGTGCTCAGTTGGTCTTTTGTTCCCAGTTCTTCCCATCAAATAAGGAAACAGGTCACTGGTGCGATGCATCCAAATATTTCTATCTGGACATTTTATTTTGAGTTTGGGGAAAACAGCGCTTGCAGATTTAGTGGTAGAGATGGTGGGCTGCAGCGGGAGTACTGTCCTTAGTCATGCCTGTCTTTAGTGACGCTCTCAATCCAGGACAGGTACTTGTAAACATTGGTATAGATGCCTACGTCGCCACCCAGGAAGTGTCCGACCTCAATCCCCTGGAGCTTGTTTTTGCAGATGACAGTGGCGACAGCCACTTCCTGCCAGAGGTGGTGCAAAGAGAGGGAGAGAGAGAGAGAGATGGTCAGACCAGCCCTTTAGTCCCCAGCTTGGGTGAGCCCTGCCTAAGGTAGCGTGCTGGGTCGTCCTCTTTAGGACTCACATGTACTGTGAGTCAAACCCCATTTCTGTGAACTGGTGAAGCCAGCTGCAGTTTGTGAAATGCGTGAATTATTTTGGTCACGATGCCCATTTCCACTTGCGGCTATGAGAATAAAAGGCTTATTAACTGCTGGTACTACACGAAGCCCTTGCACGAATAAAGGCATTTGTGCCTGGCTGGCTGTGGCTCAGCGGTGGAGCATCGACCTGGGATCCAGAAGATCTCGGGTCGATTCCCGGTCAGGGCACATGCCCGGGCTGCGGGCTCGATCCCCAGCACGGGGTGTGCAGGAGGCGGCCGATCAATGGCTCTCTCATCATTGATGTTTCTCTCTCTCCCTCCCTCCCTCTCTCTTCCTCTCTCTGAAATCAATAAAGATATATTTTTTAAAAATTAAAAAAAAAAGACATTTGTAAGGAGAGCCAATTACTGAAGAAACAACAGGAGCTTCCTGAAACCTTATCAGATTCTCAAAAAATTCCAAGAGGATGAGGGCCTTCTATTTTTTTAAATATCAGGATTAAGTAATTAACTAGACACTTACACGTTCATGACAGCTGAATAGAGAGAAAAGATTACCCCAAAAATCCGGCCGAACACTTTGACAAACTTCAGACATAAGGAGTTGCGGTGGCTTTTCCCTTGCTCGGTTTTCTGGCAGTCTTTGTCGGACATCACAGGGGCCTCCAGGTTCTGCCTGAGGTCAGGGTGCCTGCCTGAGGGAGACAGGGGGACAACCCCTCCTGCTCACAGCTGTTCCTTAGCCCCCCTCCCTGCAGCCGGGGCTCTGTGTGTGGTCTGAAGAGAAGGGGGAATGAGAAAAGCGGGGAGAGGGTCCCAGGTATTTATGAGAGTTATAGTCCTGGGGATTGTGAAATAGCCTCTATGTCTCTGTAAAGAGCAGAGTTTCCTTTCTGCTCCATGTCCAGGCTCGGAGGGGTAGGAGGTGACCTGACTCAAGTTCCCAGAGGCCTCCTCTGGATGTAAAGGAGCCTGTGCAGGAGGCTCTTCAACGCGAGTGGGCCTCTGACCGTGGACAGTCAGGACCCCAGTGCTCCGGGCAGTGAGCTGGCCTGTGGATCCAGCTGCCGATGCCCTAAAGAGGCAGCGGGGCATCGGGCTGCCTGGCGAAGGAGCAGCTTTGGACTCCCGGGCGGGTCTCTTTTTGCCAGACCACTCGTGTAGTCTGTCCCTCTGGTCTCCCCCCAGGCTCCTCTTCCCTGTCCTCAGCTATGCAGACTCGGGTGCTTCTTGAGGGACGACCGATGCCCCTGACCTGCTGCGGGAGGTGCACTCACCACTGTTTTCTCTGCTCCAGTCCAGGCCTGAAAGCAGACACACGGTGCCTGGCTGGACATTGCTGGTGGCCAGGCTGAGGGTCTGGACTTTGTGGCTGAAGTTGGCTGGCTTGCCCAGCTTAATGAGCATGAGGTCATCCTGGGGGTAGCTGTCGGAATAGTTCCAGTAGCGGATGATATTGATGGGGCTAATTGTCTGCTCTGTCCCATCTCTGACTCTGATCCGGAAATTTCCCAGCATCACTTTCAGATTTCTGGAGGGAGAAGGGTTTGGAAGTAATCATTGTCATCATCACCATCATCATCAGTCATCACCACCATCATCATCATCATCACCATCATCATCACCATCACCAAAGCTGACATCAAGCGTTACAGTGTGCCAGGTACCGTGCCAAGGGCTCCATCTGGGCTCTGGGTTACCTCATGTATCACTCACAACAAATCTATGAAGTAGATTCTATTTTTAACCCCCATTGTCCAGATGAAGCCATGGAGGCACATATAAGTAATTCGCCCTTGCTCACACAGCCGTGGTGGAGCCTTCACCTACTGTGTTTTCACGTAGTGTCCTAGGGTAGAGGAGAGGAAAATTATGGCCGGCACGGATCTGTTATTCCCTCCTTACCAGCGCCAGCCTGCCCGCTGGGGCGTGTCCATTCTGGTGGAGTTAAGGGAATGGGATGACCTGAGTGCTGGACAGCCCCTATTTGCTTCGTCAGATCCACTCCCAACCCTTTTTGTCCTGCTCTGTACCTTTGGAAGGTGATATATGTGGATTAAATCAATGGGATTTGGCCAGTAGGAAGCACCAGAAAGTAACTGAAGGAAGAAGGGTGAGACTGGAGTATTATCCTCCGGGCTCCCTTCCTGCAAGGTTGCCACAGACTGGCTGCTGGCTGTGTCTCATGACCAAAGGTTACAGCTCGTGTAAGGCCTTCTCTCTACAATGATTCCTTTCTCTCCTTCCTCCCCGCCTCCTCTCTCCCCTCCCCACTTGTACCCAGTCTCTCCTTGCCCTGTTGGGTCTAGGGGTAGTTAGTAACTGCACCTTTCTAATACTAACCGTGGGACTACTCAACTATTCTTTGTGGTTTTCCTGTTTCCCTTGTCCATACCTTTGTTGTTGGTGCTTTTAAAAAATTCTCCTCAATTTATCCCATTTGAGTGCATCGTAAGTTAACTGCTGGTCCCTTAATTTATAAAACACGTTCATATTGCCAGTACAAAACTTGAAAAAACTGCTGGGAGACCGAGGAGGCATAATATCTAGGACAGGGCTCTTCAGTGGCAGCACTGTTGACTCCTGGGCTGGGAAGGTCTGTGTTGTGGGGCTGTCCTGTGCAGGGCAGGATGTTTAGCAACCTCCTTGCCCTGGCCTCTGTTCACTAGATGGATGCCGACAGCAGAGCCCAACCCACACCCAGCTCCACGGTGACAACCAGAAATATCTTCGGGCTTTGCCAATTGTACCCTGGGGGAAAGTGGCCCCTATTTGGGAACCACTGACGTAGAATGAGTAGTAGCTGTTGCAGGGGGTGGGGATGCCCAACACTCACGGTAAGTAGCAGTGAGCTGGGGCCAGCACCCAGTCTTTTTTGATGAGGACACCCACACAGGGGTTGAACTGAGACCTGAGGTACACCAAATAGGGAGCATTGTCTTCTTTCTGCACAGATGAGTGAGCGGAGGAGAATGTCCCTGAGAAAATGATATTTTTCATATAAAAGACATTCTTAGAACAAATAATACCATCAACAGTTTCCTAGTTGAAAATAATACCATCAACAGTTTCCTAGTTGGGAAGGAATATGTACCATTTTAAAGAAGTAATTGATTGGCCAATGTAAAAAAATATTTTTTCTAATAAAAATGTAAATTAAAATGACATACCATTTTACCTAATATTTATAATAATCATTTTTGTTGAATGTTGATAAGATTCAGTCAAGGAAAGTACAATGAGAAAGACTCTCATTCACTATTTGTAGGAATGTGAATTGATTCTAACTTTTTGAAAAACAATTTAGAAATACGTATCAAGAATTATAAATGGTGCCCAGCAGGCGTGGCTCAGTGCTTGAGTTGACTTATGAACCAGGAGGTCACAGCTTGATTCCCTGTCAGGGCACATGCCTGGGTTTCAGGCTCAATCCCCAGTAGGGGGCTTGCAGAAGGCATCAGATCAATCACTCTCTCTCATCACTGATGTTTCTGTCTCTCTCCCTCTCCCTTCCTCTCTCTGAAATCAATAAAAACATATTAAGAAAAAAAATTATAAATGGTTCATCACCTGCGACCTGATAGTTCCAGCCCCAAGAATCCATTCTATTAAAATAACCAGATGTAGACAAAGATTATGAATAAGTATGTTCATTTCAGTACTATTTATAGTAGCTAAACATTGGAAAACTAAATGTCCAATATAGTAGTGTTGGTCATTGAAATGAAAAAGTACATATACAAATGGAACATCATACATATTAAAATTGTATCAATATTACTTATGAATATTAACCAGCAAAAGAAAAATTGGTAACTTTAAGTTAAAAGTAATAATTAAATTCAGTAATTCAATTGCCTAAAAACAAGAAGCAATAAACTATTTTTTAAATTTATCTTTATTGTTGAAACTATTACAGGTGTCCCATTTTTTTCCTCCATTGACCCCCTTCGCCTTGCTCCCACCCCCTCCCCAGGCCTTCACCCCATTATTGTCCCACCCCCACCACCCTTCCCTATTCCCTCTGAGATATGACTGTCTATTGCATGCTTCAGTGTCTCTGGATCTGTTTTGTTCGTCAGATTCTTTTGTTCATTAGCGTCTTCTTAAAGAAGACCCTTCAACATTTCCTGTAGTGCTGGTCTGGTGGTGATGAACTCCTTTAGCTCTTTCTTATCTGTGAAGCTCTTTATCTCACCTTCAATTCTAAATGATAGTTTTGCTGGGTAGAGCAATCTTGGTTGTAGGTTCTTGGTTTTCATCACTTTGACTATTTCTTGCCACTCCCTTCTGGCCTGCAAGGTTTCTGTTGAGAAATCAGCTGACAGTCGTATGGGTGCTCCCTTGTAGGTAACTAACTGCTTTTCTCTTGCTGCTTTTAAGATTCTCTCTTTGTCTTTAACCTTTGGCATTTTAATTATGATGTGTCTTGGTGTGGGCCTCTTTGGGTTCCTCTTGTTTGGGACCCTCTGTGCTTCCTGGACTTGTAAGTCTATTTCTTTCCCCAGGTAGGGGAAGTTTTCTGT